AAGTTTGGAATTTCGAAGTCAATTATTATTAGAAGTATGAGGCTAGCGGATAGCAAACATTTGACTAAAGAGTTGGAACGGCTGACAAATTATCCTTTGGACCTTATTGAGAATAATATATCTCTACTGAGGAATAAATTTTCAGACGGAGACCATTTAGTCAATATAGACAGACTGATACTTTTTGCCATTTCCTAATTTCGCCATCATGCTTTCTCTCAAAAAGATAGGCGAATTAGTAAGAAAGTGGGGGATAAAACCAATGTTCAAAGAAACCCTCACACTTTCTTCTGCTATGCCATCTTTTAGAGAGAAATATGACCCATTATCGAGATCCTGCTGCTACAAGATTGTTCGCTCACGTGGTTGATCTTCTGTTTGTGAGACATGCCGACCTATTGGACAAAGATTGGGAGAACACAAAATTGCTCGTAAAGGAAGTTGGGTCTAATGGTCAGAAGTGGCTGAACACATGGTAGAAACTGGACATGAAATAGAATGGTTTCAAACTAATAGGTTTGTTGATTATGGTACGTCTATGATTAAAAGAAAGATAAGTGGCTACTACAATTAATAGCCTAGGAAATAAGTCGAATGTGAGGAATGATGGTAGAGAGTTGAGTAAGAACTACTTATGCTTGATTGATAGATTGAAGGAGAGAGTGTTGAGCCGATATCCAAAAGAAGGCAACTCAACTGGTCTGCTCGGAGATGGTTCTAATTTCACTCACACCCGTCCAACATGTTAGATTTGGATGATCAACTAGACCAGACGTACCAGATTATGCAGCCTCAGTCATGCCTTTCCTTCGGGAGTTAAACTTTAATGACCCTAGACTGAGAGATTAGGACAAGTGGTTTTGTAACTTGACTTACATGATTACAAGCTCGTATATAATTCCCTCAACCATACTTGATTACGGACTTATGCAGTATTGGTCAGGGCTTGCTCTCGGGTCATTAGACCTTGATGATCAGAGCCCGACATTAGCCTTTTGCAAACTTTGATTTTGGACAGGTATTGCGTATAGACGCTCACATACGAGCAAAGTAGCATAACCACTATGAAAGATAATTAGCCAAACCAGTCTATATTTATCTATCTAGGTTTTTAATTTTCTTTTGGCTTAATTGAGTCTATATAAGAGACGAGATAGAGCCAGATAGTCTTCTTTCCCTAGTGCTAGCGTGAGACTTTTACAGGAATAAAACCCAGCTCTGATGATGTCCATCATATGATGGACGAAAGCTCAGCCCGTTTTCACCCAAAATGAGGGGGGTCTCGTGGACTGCGTCAACCCGAACGTCGCATAAAAACCAAGCGGCTGCAGTACAACGGGATTGATCCTTCCTCTTCCGATGAGATCGACATATGAATTTCTCCTTCATGCACTTTGATACGAAATGAAAGTCCCTCCAACAATGTTATCTCAGGAGATTCATCGAAACCCAGTTTCTCTTATAATCCCATAAAATACTCGCCGATGCAACATAATTTCGCAAATGACAAAGGATTTAGCTTGCGTCCATATTCCGAAGCTCGATAAAAGCCTAAAGCTACAGCCTGCCCTCGATGAGTACCGTCTTTTGATTGCAAAGTGCAGTGATTCTAAATAGGAAATCAAGTCTGAGGTTCATTGTACTTTATTTGGGATATCGATGTCACTGTGGCCTCATACAGCAAATGGCAATCTATCAGAGCCGACGCTAGCAATGCTGCAGGTCAAAACCACTGGAGATCTCTAAAAAATCTCACCCGACAGCAAAAATTTGATTCAAGATACTAGAAAGCCAGGGCCAGCCAACACAAAAAGTTGGGAGCAGATGTGTGAAACCAGGGTAGTTGGGAACAACTTTTGGGAAAGCAAGGCAATGTGAAATTAAATGAAAACGTGAGCTCTACTCATATTATTGTGGGAAAATTCTAATACCAGTCCTTCATCACCTTAAATTACATAGGGTGAGTACATCTCATATTAGTTGCATTAAGTTTGTAAACTAAAAACGACCACAAAGCAGATATTTGGGTTTATTTGCGAAGGGACTTGGCGTATAGATCCTTCTTTACCAAATATTCCAGACTCGCCTTAATAAATTTTATCTCGGCAATAGTTTACCCGATAATACTGCCCACACCTGCGTGGGAATAGTAATTCAGCTTGAATTTCATACACACTTTCACTTTCGCTCTCGTAAAATAGTTGCGGATATTCTTGAGGGGATCACAAATACTGTTGCTTTTTTGAGGAAAAAGGTGAAGTGTTAGTCTTAGTGACTGCGCTTCGGAACTATTTAATATTATATGAGAACACGATACAACCTAGATCGATAAGGTAATTAAAGGAATTATTGATTAATTTCCCACAACAAAAACAAGCTTGCGTAAAATCAAAGAGTGATGAAGCCTTTGCACGTTGTGGGAAACTCGTCTATTAGCCTTTACAATAGTCATAGAGCTAAGTATGATGAATGCAAGAGCAGATATTTGATCGCTGTTGCGAAACTCACTCAGTACAAAGCAAGTTCATATATCGTAATTGAAAATTAGGATTGCCCCTTTAGCAACCTCAGCACAAAGATAATTTTAAGAGACATGGTTTGCCTTAAAAGTCACATGCTTAATGGTTTATCAGCGATGTTGGCTGTGACGTGGTCGCAGCATTTTGCCACAAACCGCACGGCAGGACTTGTGTAGACGTTGAGGGTGATGGCAAGACCTGTTGGGTCTCAACTTTATCTCATACCCAACGAACGAATCTTTTAAAAGGCAGCGCAAAGCGCAATTTAATGACATTATGATAAATACCTATTTTGTTATTGGAAATTCAACTACCAGTCTTTATATCCGCTAAGGAAAAGAGAAAGACCTTCATACTTCTTCTCAATACTATATTTGAAGGTATGTAGAAGCTATATAGCCTGATTTTAGACCCATTCCAAAATTTACAGAATACCCCACCGCCTTTTGGAATAAATAAACCCTTGCTTTCTGAGAGTATGCAGGCACATGACTTCACTTAAATGTGAGATAAGTAGGGCCTAAGCATTCACTGCTCTTCAAATAACGCCAACCGAACATGTCATCTTGGTATCGGCAAGTGTTTACTTACGAACTGCGATTAGTTATATCAAGATTCAGTAGTTAAATTGTCCAGTGAGATCAAAAATTGCAGACTCATGAATTGACTAAATTCTTCGAATTGCCATCGGAAGATCAGTTTATAGCATCTAGAAGGTAGCACCTTTACTGGAGTGAATATATTAAATGAAAATATTAGTAGAAGACTTATTGTAAGACACTTTATCAAAAATGAGGCTAATATCAGAGGTATGCGATCCAAAATGGTTTATATTTACCAATGATATATCCCAAAGTTTAAGGGGACATCAATTTAATTTATTCTTTGCCTTAGTTCCCAGCAACTTTTCCGATTTTTGACAGCTCACCGGCCAGAGCCGTCAATTCCAGTCGGGGAACATATAACGATTCTTCAATATCAGGATCGAACTAAAAATTTAAGGTTAGTTCATTCTCTTCGTGAAATTTTAAAAAACCAATTTTTTTCATGTAAAAGTTCTATCACCTTCTGGAAGCTAAAGCGGACACCTTGTGGCAAGTTTTGCTGCATTATATCCACAATAATAGGCAAACGAATAGACTTGAGTCCCGAAATCTAAGAGTCAAATCTGCTCACATAATTACTGTGAAGGCTCTTTTGTATTCAGCTATATCAAACTCGGCTTTAACTTCAGTAGAATTTATGTTAAATATTTTGTAACGCCTTTTACTGGCTGGAACGGCAAAACTTAAGTCAATCTTCGAAAAGACAGTAATACTTGTGAATAATGACGCCAAATTTTTTCAAAAAACGGTGAACATATTTCGAATATGACTCAATTATGGCGAAGTCTGGTCCTGTTATCTGCAAGTGCAGATCATTATAGAGCGGAATAGGAGGTCTTCGGTCCTGGAGTAAATATATATCAAAATCGGAAACAAACTAAGTATGGGGGATCAAATTTGAACGTTTTAAATGAGTGAACGAAGCAGCTTGTGGCCAGACGAGCAGATGAAGAGAGTAGGGGTGCATAGTCCTTGGTGAAAAAGGGAAGCATACAGCGGTTAAATCTGCAATAAAGTGATAGTAAGTTTTAATTTATATTAATAGTGTTGATATCGATTGGCACAAAAATACAAGATAATTTTATTGTGTAATTATCCGCTAAATCTAAATTCGGTCGCGGGCTATATGTTCTTGCTCCCACCAGCTTGGTTGTCACCTTTTCTGCTTCACTTACTCCTTGCTTATTCATTGGGCTTGTAAACCATGAAGGAACATTATAATAATTATGGAAGCTAATGTTTCTTGTTATACTTTGACAAGTGATTTCTCGTCTATCTCGTGTGGTGATGTGATAGAACGTCGCGATTCCTCTGAGGAATATGAAAAAGATGTGAAATTGGCAAAACCTAGCCGCCAAACTGGCCTTACGGAAGACAAAATGAAATCAGCAATTAAATCTAAACAGGGAGATCACAATTATTTGGATCATATGACTCGTTCCACAGGCACAAAACTTATATTTAGAGCTCCCCCGCGACATCTTTCAGATCTAATGTACATTGAACATTACGAAAATGGAGGTGGTTATGCATTGCATGCGTATGCTGAAGAGCTTGCTCATTTATCACCGGATGAGCTTAATATTTTGGTCAAGAAGTACTTTCGTACTCTTTTCGGCGAGCGAAGAAAGAAGGGCATACCTGTTCCGTTTTCTTACTACTGTATCGGAGTTGTGCATGGAGCAGCAAGGTCTTTTCCTGAGCTAGTTAGTTATATGGCTAAAATGCATGCTGATATGATAGTTTCTACTAATACCTTGGAACTGAAAAATTCCTATCAAACAATGACTATGAGTGAATACGCCACAAATGTTTTCAAAACCTATTCCCATGGTCTTTTTAGGTATGGACCGATGCATGCAGTAAGTATTGTCGGAGTCAAAGGAGAAGAGAGGGGAGAGCATTGTACTGATTTGCTGAACAAACTCGAGGCTGATCCCTTCCTAAGTATGGTCACGCCTTGGAGCAGTTTGTCCAAATTTGCCGGATGTTTGCCGTCGGAAAGCAATGATGGTCCAATCCTATGGACACGCCATGGTGAGCAGGCCGTTCCTGTTCAATCTGCTTCGATTATTTCGAAAAGAAAGTACGTCGTTTTTAATATTATATATGCGCGTAATGTCTTTTGACTTAGATAAAGTTGTTTTAAGTTTTCGAGTTTAGTTCACAAAATGCTTAACTTTAGACTTTGAAATATCGTATGATTACATCTAGATATAGATGGATTCGCTTACCATTCTTTGTTATGAGATCACGCTGTTTCACTTTATTATATTTGTCTTATTTGTTTGATAGCTGCTTGTTACAGGTTCCACTCCTTATTTATGATTGAATGATTAGATATTGACCTGTTTTTAGTTGATCGAAAGAAACGATTTTTTTTAACCTCGAATCTTTGTTCTACTTTTCAATTAAACACTTTTATGAGATATCTTTATGTAGTCATCACATGGGTCGACCGTTACCGCTATATTTTCTGTTGGTGCCTAAGAATTTCTTATTCTTTTGTTGCTTTTTGTCCATCTCATGTCGGTCAAGCAGTCGAGGTTTCTCTGCTTCAATATCATTCCTCTAAATCCTTCTGGTATGTAATATTAATGGTCTCTTATGCACATTTCTAAAAACCGGGATAAATTATTTCTTTATAAAGGAGTGATTTTGCATTTATATTCTCTATAGAAAGCATAAATGCTCTTCTGCTTAATTTTTGTTCATATTTGGATCCGTTTCAATCGGATCATTCCCTCTCCTTTTAGGGGTCTTTTTCCCCTTTCTTTCATAATAGTTAGCTCAGAAATTCATTATATAACCACGTGGTAGTTCCCAAGTCTTATTCCTTTAATCGGCTTTGGAGTTTTACATCTTATGACTAATTCTCAGATAGCTCAGAAAGTTATCATTTGATCAGTAGTCTCAGGCGCATCTTAAATTAAATCTTAAGCTGTGCACAATGGCTCTTCAGTGAGGCAATGTTCTCTCATCTTACCCGAAGGTGTGAAGACCGAGCTGATGTCGTGTTTAGTCTGATCGCTGTCTTCTTTCATTGCATAGAAGTGGTTTTGCCTCGTTTACACAACTTGGCTGTATTGTGATGAATTAAATAAACGCATCTTTTTCCGAATCCTCTGATATATTATCCATAGTAATTTCCAGCATCGGACCTTGGGCTTGGTACATTCTCATACGTTTTATTGGTATCATCGGTTAGCCTGGTCATTCTTAGCATAAATCTACATCTCGTCAAAGGGACAGGTAAAATCCATCCTTTGACCAGCTGTCTCATCCATTATGTATTCTGCTG